CTCAATAGATAAGAGATGCTTTGATTCACTTGGCAAATACTAGTGAAGATCCTAAGTCAAAGAGTGAAGCCGAATCCCTAGCAATCCATGAGCTGGAGAATTTTGAGTTCTTGTTAGGTATGGTTATTTGGCATGAATTGTTGTTTGCTATTAATACTGTTAGCAAAACTCTTCAAAAAAAAGACATGCATATTGATGTTGCTATTGATCAATTGAAAGGGCTTATATTCGTTCTTGATTAGTATAGAGAAACTGGATTTGAAGAGGCAATGAATGAAGCTAAGAAAATAGCAAGTGAGATGGAGATTGAGCCCGTTTTTCGTGAGAAACGCATCATTCGAAGAAAGAAACAGTTTGATGAGAGTGCTAGTGAAGCGGCAACACAATCGGCAATTGAAGCTTTTAGAGTTGATTACTTCATTTATATAGTTGATCAAGCTCGTACTTCACTTCATATAAGGTTTGAACAATTTCAGAAATATGAAGAAACTTTTGGGCTTTTGTTTAATTTGAAGAAGTTAAAAGATGTAGACAATGATAGCTTAAAGAGTTTTTGTATCAATCTTGAAGGATTTCTGAAACATGGTGAGCATTCTGATATTGATGGAAAAGACTTATTTAGAAAGTTAAGAATCTTAAGAGAAACTTTGCCGAAGGAAATAAATCGAGCAATGGAAGTGCTAAAATATATAAGACAAATGGATGGTTGTTTCCCAAATGCATGGGTTGCTTATCGTATTTTGTTAACCATACCAGTTACAGTTGCCTTTGCAGAAAGAAGTTTCTCAAAATTAAAGTTGATCAAATCGTATCTTCGATCAACTATGTGAAGGATGATTTTGTGAAAACATGTTCATTTGAATAACATCTATAGCATGCATTTAACAATTAAAAGGCGGAATCATGCTTGCATGCATTCAAAAATAAAACATTAACCATGAAATTCAAAGCCTAGTAGATTGGTGAACCAAGACTCAACTCAAATCAAAGTGAGTTGAGAAATTTATACCTTTGTAGATTCCTCTTTGCATAAGCAAAGGCTAATCACCCAAAGAGAGGGCCTTCATTCCTTGCATCTTAGATCTATGGATTTGGATGGATGAAATGGTTCTCCAAGTTCTCAAAATAGAGAACCTCTAAGTCTCCACACCAAGGTAAGATTGATGAAAAAATGAGTGACCTTGGAGGAGAAAGATTACTAGCTCATCCCTCCAAGGGGGGGCCGGCCTCTTTAAAGAGAAAGGAGAGCTTTGTGTTCTCTCCAATTTCCTAAAAGAAACCCTTAATGAATTTAGGCTATAAAGTCTTTTATATAGTCCCTTCAAATAAGTGACTTAAAGAACCAAAAAGCCATTCTTCTAACATGGCGGGCCACTTTAAGGGATTTGGGCTTTTGGGCCCTTGTAAATCTTTATTCATTAAGTTGTCATACAACTTAAGTCCATGGGCTTTGATGTTCGAAGCCCATTGGGCCTTAAGGTCCAAAACTATCCCGAGGTCTTTAATGAACTTATTCATTTGATTAATTAACATATTAATTAATCCTTGCCATAAATAATTAAACCATTTAATTATTCTTACTCATCTCCGTTGTTTCTTCAATCTCTACCTTACACGGTGTACGATCCATTAGGTTCCTTTTAGCGAGGCAGTGGGCGATTAAAACTCTTTCAAATCGATTGTGAATTGAAACTTACTTTCAATTCTCTCTTTAGTGTTTATACACGTTTAGGGCTTCCACAAACCAAGAGTGACACCTAGCAGCATATCATGGTTACCCAAGCTAATCAGAAGAGGTAGAGAACCTATTCAGTTTAGGATTACAAATGCAATACGGTCTTTCTCTAATACAATACTCTTGACCACATTGTTTGGTTTGATAGTTTATTCATGTCTACTATCCAATGTAATTCGTGTGCTTATGATTACCTTGAATGTGATTTAGAACGACTTTCCTAAATCTCATTCATACTCTGGCCAGAGATTCTTAATCATATCATAGAGTATTCTCCCTCAAACGGTTTGAAGGTTAGAGATCCCTTGTTGCGCATTCACTTGCCTCTATAGCTAAGTGGCTTAACCCCAACTATGCCGTGGACACCCTCCTGATGGAGTGACTTTGACATAATCAAAGATCAAGGACTTAACCACAAGACAACTATGATGCCTCAGGTCAAAGGACTACTTTGCATTATCCCAACCATGAGTTCTCATGTGACATGAATATGAGAACTCTTCGTTGATCGTGTTCAGTGAACTCATTCTCTATTGAGCACCTACGTACTTGTCTTGATGTCACACACACCAATGACTCGAGACTAGTCACTCTTTCTGAGAGAAGACACAGCACGTACTGATCTTAACGGACTGTCAATGCCCAATTGGCAATCCTATGATCAGGAATGTTTAGGATGTGTCTACGAAAGAATGGTCTCATGAATCTAACTTCTTTAAATTGCATTCTCCCAATCACATATTCCTTGGACTTATCGTTTAAGCATATAACATTTATATGAGACGGCTCAAACAATAATATTTGCCCTTGATATTAAACTAGATTAGTTTAACATGTGAAATGTCCGTAAAGTATCATCATATGATTGGTTTTAGGGCACATTTCCAACACTATGTCACAAGAAAGATTGAATGAGTTAGCTATTTTGTCAATTGAAAAAGAATTGGTTGAAAAGTTAGATAATGTACATTTGTGTCTAAAAACACGAGACGTGTAATATTTAAGTAATGTTTGCATATATTTCTTCTTTGGATATCAATTCTAATGATTTTTGATATACAAATGAACTTTTTCATGTATTTAGCGAAATCTTTTATTATACATATAAATGTACAATGAGTTGGGTATCAAAGAACTTTAGGGCCCCCACTCGAAGGCTCGCCTAGGGCCCCCAATTTCTCAGGGCCGGCCCTGCATGCAATCTATTCTTTCTGTGCTTCTGTTCTCTATTTTCAAACACCCTGTTCTCTAATTTCTACAACAAGAGACCTGGAACTAAATTCTCCTTCCAAGGTTTTAATATTTTTGTAACTCATTTTTTCTCCATTTGCACACTCTAAATTGACTATTTTATAATTTTTTTACACTCACAAATGAAGCACACGAGACCAAATAAGGTGTGTGAAAATCACTAACCATAAACTCTTAAAGTCAAATAACTTATAATAATTTAATTTGCGCAGAGCTTTCTGGATAAAGACGATAAGGAATTCCAGTTATACAAATCACATTTAGACAACTATATATGCTCTCTACTTACAAGCACATCTAGTTTTCAGGCCCAATATACCCCCGGTAGTAAGCCACCCTGGGATCACAAGTCCGACTTATAGAAAGCATGTTCGTTCTTATTACACATAGAGCGTCTATATGTCATTGATAATACACCAATATAATCATCGTCGCAAATAAAACATACCAACATGCTATTGAAGAAAATTTCTAATAGATTCATCTTGTTATACTTTTGTATCGATATTGTGCTTATCCAAAACGATATCGTTGACAACAGTTCAACAAGGCAAGTGAGAACAATCTCCAATATGTCACATCAGCATCACTCCTCCTAACATATGCAAAGTATCTAAGTTTAAATGGAGGAGTGGCAACATGTGGATCCTCAAAATTAAGTCACAGCAGAAACCCTAATCTCAAAGGCAAATAAGCAGGTGGACTACATTCTCGGTGACAATCCAGCAAAGATGTCTTACATGGTAGGGTTTGGGGACAAGTGCCCGCAACATGTGCACCACAGGGGTTCTTCTCTCCATCAGTTCATGAGCATCCTGATCGAGTTATGCAACGATGGATTTCAGCATCTGAATGCGAAAAATAAGCATACCTGCAAAGTTTAAAGCATCCAAACAATCAAATAATTAAATCAAAACTAAATCGCATATAAATTCATTCAAAACTAAATCGGAACAAAAAGTGAAGAGCAAAACTCAAATTCAAACAACAAAGGTGAAATCGGAACAAAACTTATCTTCAAATATCGAAACTCAAATCATAAGCTAACAAATCCATCAAGAATCCAAAGGAAGCAAGAAAGAGTAGAGTGAACGAAACAAAATTGGACGGAGAAGAACTAGATCTAAGCTAAGTTTCTCCCATCAGTCGCGATTTCAAAAGAAAACGAAAGGGCAATTTCATTACTTAAACACTAACATAAAAAACGCCCTTACACATGCATAAAAATTGTCTATTTTTGAAATAATTTAAAAGTCTTGTCTCAATTAATTTAAAATTAAAAGCTAAAAGTATACCTTACGTATAATTTTTCCAGTAAATAACTACCAATGTATATGCACCAAGTGATCCATTATACTAGAGGGATTATTATCAAATATCAACCCATTCAAAGTCATGTCTTAGTTTGATTATACTTCTCTGTCACAACGCAAAATAAGTAACAAATATTGTCATCTTAAAAGTTTGGATGCAAACTTCCATACCACACGATAGAACGAATTGCACACTATCGAATTAAAACCATAACAAGGTGTTACAAACTTTATTTATAATCCAAGATTCTGCAACATGTGTTATGTGTTAAGTAGGCAATGCATGTCACTTATTCTACCAAGTAACAGAAAATCTCAATCAATCAAAATTATAATGAAATCTCAACAATCGCAAATATGGTAAACCGGACAATAACGCATCCCCAAATGAAAGTTAACCTCCAGCTTCAAACCAAGAAATCATACCAACTAAGGTAAGGACTTGTTTGGGCATTGTTTTCAAATAACTGAAAACGTCTTTTGAAAATGTTTTTTTAAACCAATTCTTAGTAAAAATATAAATTAATTATGGAAAGCATTTGAAGTAATGCAGGTAACTGATGCTTTTTGTACGAACATATCTCAAAAATATTTTCGCTTAAAGCGTCTTCGTGACGGCACATCTTAAACTGAGTCCTTAATTGCAATTAAACAAAAAATAACCCCAACCAAAAAGGGAAAAAAATAAAGAAGAAAGAAAATAGAATATCACAAGAAAAAAAAAAGGGGGAAAAGAAAACAAAGCAAGAGGAGAAGTCTTCTTCTCCATTCGACGATTAAATCTCAGCAGTTCACACTCAGAGATTTGCAGTCCCATAACCGACCCAAAACGATGTCGTTCGCCCCTCGCCAATTCCCACTCTTCCTCCTCTTCTCTCTCCTCGCCTTCTTCTCTCTCTGCTCCGCCGAGATCCGATTCTCCTCGATCCGGTCCGACTGGCGCCCAATCATCCCCTTCGACGAGTTCGGCTTCACCCACAAGGGCCTCCTGGAGCTCAATGTCTCCAAAATCGTCCTCTCGGATCTTCCCCAACCGGATCCGGACCTCTCCAAAGTCGGATTCTTCCTCTGCACCGGCGACTCCTGGATCCACGTCTTCCAGCAGCTCGAGGAGGGTGAAATCCGCTGTGCCCTCGATTCGACCCTCGTCAAGCCCGTCTACACCTTCAAATCCCTCAACGGCGAAGATCGATTCTCCACCGTCTTCTCCGAGACCGACGCCGATCAGTACACCCTCCTCTTCGCCAACTGTCTCCAGCCGCTCAAGGTCTCCATGGACGTCAAATCGGCGGCGTACAACCTCGAGGGGAGGAAGAACGACCGCCGCGATTACCTCTCAGCCGGTAAAACCATTCTCCCCAGCGTTTACTTTCTGTTCTCTTTAGTCTACGCCTCTCTCGCCGGACTTTGGGTTTTCGTGCTTTACGAAAAACGACTTACCGTTTTTAGAATCCATTTCTTTATGCTCGCTGTCGTAATTCTCAAGGCCTTTAACTTGCTCTGTGAGGCGGAGGACAAGTCGTATATCAAGCGCACCGGTAGCGCTCACGGCTGGGATGTGTTGTTCTATATATTCAGCTTCTTAAAGGGTGTCACATTGTTTACTTTGATTGTTTTGATCGGAACCGGGTGGTCGTTTTTGAAACCCTTTTTGCAAGATAAGGAGAAGAAGGTGTTAATGATTGTGATTCCGCTTCAGGTGATAGCTAACATTGCGCAGGTTGTGATTGACGAGACCGGGCCTTTCGGGCATGATTGGGTTAATTGGAAGCAGGTGTTTCTGCTTGTCGATGTTGTTTGCTGCTGCGCAGTGTTGTTCCCGATTGTGTGGTCTATTAAAAACTTGAGAGAGGCGGCCAGGACCGATGGGAAGGCTGCGGTGAATTTGATGAAGTTGACTCTGTTCAGGCAGTATTACATTGTGGTTATATGCTACATTTACTTTACAAGAGTTGTGGTTTATGCATTGGAGACCATCACGTCGTACCGGTACCTTTGGACCAGTGTGGTGGCTGCGGAGTTGGCCACGCTTGCTTTCTATGTGTTTACGGGGTACAAGTTCAAGCCAGAGGCGCACAATCCATACTTTGTGATCGATGACGAGGAGGAAGAGGCTGCAGCTGAGCAGCTGAAGCTTGAGGATGAGTTTGAATTGTGATTTAGTGTAGAGAAGAAGGAAGATGGTGCCCTTGATCCAATTCGGAAGACTGAGGTAGAGTTTCGTTCATCACAGTGGGATATAGTTTGTGTGTTTATTTTTGTTTCATGTTGTTGACTGCCTGTTTTTTCTTATAATTGAAGTTAGTAGTCAATAGGATAATGTCACACCCTCGTAAATTTTTATGTGAATCGAAGAATATGTGTAACTACCAAAAAATAATGTCTGGCATGAATTTTTGCATAAAGGGTGCGTTATTTCATCATTTTTTTGTTCGAATTTTACTTTTATGGAGCCCTTTGATTCTGCATAAATTTGGTTCATGGTGGAGTGGCTACTTCTGCAAAGTGTTATAGTTTTCATGTGGTAGAGAGGGGGATATGGAAAACACAAACATGATCAATCTAGGCTTAATGCAAAAGAACAGAGATTTTAAACTACACAAAGTGATCAAAGATTAATCGGTCCAATCATTTGCAATTTGGGATTGTTGTATGGTGTCGTTTGCGTTGGTCTTCTTGTGTATCAAATGATGGCATCATTTACTATTGGGTCCTTTGATATTGCAATTTTTGTTATAACTGATTTCTGTATATTAAGCATCGTGAGATATTGCACTTCAAAATAGTCGTCCACTCGTCTGCTATTGTTCTCCAAATAAAAAATTGAATAACAAAAGTACATCCTTACTATTTTGGATTACGAGTGATGGCTCCATCCAGGCTGAGACTTATTTATAACTGGAATCATATTAGGTATCATAATATCAGGAAAGGGATCCGAATCTTACCAATCAACAAATCCAGATCCATGAAATTTAATTAAACGGTTAAAAACATGAGATCTTTATAAAAGTTATAATAATTTTAGCTGTTAAATTAAATTTTAAGGGTTTGGATTTGTTGATTGGTAGGATTTAGAGGAAGGGATCCGGATCCCTTTCCATAAGATCATGTCAATTTTAAAATGCAGTGTATGCGGTATATCTTTTACAGTTTTTTTTCTTCTTTCGATATGTTAAATTTTAAATTATAATAAACGCTTTAAACCAATAAAAAGCATAGTCAATCAACAACCGCTTATAATAAATATTTAAATTAATTAAAAAACATTTAAAAATTATTAAAAAAATATTTAAAGCTATTGTCAAATTTGAGAGATAGGGGATTGTTGTTAATGCATGTTATGCCACATAAGAATGGGCATTTGGGTTGGAAAACACGTATGTTGTCTTATTTTATTTTTTTTTATTGTTGATTTGAACCTTTTAACTCCGCCTATGTCTTACATGGCCGGTCCCAAGCCCGGATAAAGGAGGAGGGGGAGGGCGTCAGGTAGTCGACAGCCGGCACTCCATGATCACGTCGAATCCTTATGAAAATGAATCCAGAACAAAATCGCGCTAAAGCTAGGGCGTCACCCGTAAGTGGCGCGCTGTGTGGCCCGAGCACAGTGATAAGTGAGCAAGGGTCGCTGTATCTCCATCGGCACCCGGATGCAGTGTTAAATGAGCAAGGGGGCCATAGAAACTTCTTTTCGAACGACTCCACTCAAAGTTGTTTGGGAGCATATGCTCCTATCAACTTTACCCGGGACACACAAAAAGAAGTACTTTGATCCTATTAGACGGGGGAGGGTGAAGAAGCTAGGACAGAAGGGTAGAGTTCAAGAGAGCAAAATGCGTTTAGGAACGTGGAATATAGGAACCTTAACGGGAAAATCTATGGAAGTAGTGGAAGTTATGGTGAGGAGAAGGATAAATATTATGTGCCTACAAGAAACTAAGTGGGTTGGTAGTAAGGTAAAGGATCTAGAAAACTCAGGGTTTAAACTTTGGTATTTGGGCACAAATAGAACGAGAAACGGTGTTGGCATCATCGTGGACAAGACCTTGGTACAAGATGTTGTAGATGTCAAGAGGGTAGGAGATAGAATCATGGCAATCAAGATTGTAATAGGACAAAGAACTTATCAATGTGATTAGTGCGTACGCACCTCAAGTAGGGTTGGATACGAGTTCGAAGGAGAAATTTTGGGAAGATCTTGGAGACTTGGTGCAAGGAATTGCTCAGACGGAGAAGTTATTTATAGGAGGAGATTTAAATGGACACGTGGGCAGGGAGACAGGCAACTATGGAGGTTTTCATGGTGGCCATGGTTTTGGGGAGAGAAACGAGGATAGGGAAGCTATCTTGGATTTTGCAATGGCATATGATCTCTTCTTAGCCAACACCTTCTTTAAGAAGAGAGAAGAACATGTGATCACCTACAAGAGTGGGTCGTCAAAAACACAAATAGATTTTCTTCTAATGAGGAAAGGGGATCGTATAACTTGTAAGGATTGCAAAGTTATACCAGGAGAGAGCGTGGCTAATCAACATCGCTTGTTGGTGATGGATGTACATATCAAAAGAGTAAGACAAAAGAACAAGACTTGGAAGTGCCCAAGAACTAGATGGTGGAATCTAAAAGAAGAAAAACAAGTCATTTTCAAAGAGAAGGTAATCACCCAATGTGTGTGGGATAGAGAGGGGGAAGCTAGCCAAATGTAGGATTCCATGGCTAGTTGTATCCGAAAAGTAGCAAAAGAGGTATTAGGAGAGTCCAAGGGCTTTGCCCCACACCAAAAGGAATCTTGGTGGTGGAATGAGGAGGTACAAATAAAGGTGAAAGCTAAGAAGGAATGTTGTAAAGCCTTATACAAGGAGAGGACCGATGAAAATGGTGAAAGGTATAGAAAAGCGAAGCAAGAGGCGAAGAAAGCTGTCAGAGAAGCTAAGTTAGCGGCTTACGACGATATGTATAAACGACTAGATACCAAAGAAGGAGAGTTGGATATCTATAAACTAGCTAGAGCAAGGGAAAAGAAGACAAGGGACCTAAACCAAGTGAGGTGCATCAAGGATGAGGATGGAAAGGTTCTTGCTACAGAGAACGCGCGGTTAAAGACAGATGGAGAGGTTATTTTCATAATCTTTTCAATGAAGGACATGAAAGGAGTGCTTCTTTAGGGGAGTTGAGTAACTCAGAAGAGTGTAGAAACTACTCCTTTTTATCGTCGAATCCGGAAGGAAGAAGTGGTTGTAGCTTTGAAGAAGATGAAGCATAGAAAAGCAATAGGCCCAGACGAATATACCAATCGAAGTGTGGAAAGTTTTGGGAGAGACAGGTATAACATGGCTCACTGACCTTTTCAATAGGATTTTGAAAACGAAGAAAGATGCCAAATGAGTGGCGAACGAGCACTTTGGTGCCTATCTACAAGAATAAGGGCGACGTACAAAATTGCATGAACTATAGGGGTATTAAGCTAATGAGTCATACAATGAAGCTCTGGGAGAGAGTCATTGAGCATAGATTGAGGCAAGAGACACGGGTTTCGGACAACCAATTCGGGTTCATGCCAGGGCGCTCAACCATGGAGGCAATCTATCTCTTACGAAGATTGATGGAAAGATATAGAGATGGGAAAAAGGATTTACACATGGTCTTTATAGATTTGGAAAAAGCGTATGATAGGGTCCCAAGAGACATTCTTTGGAGGATTTTAGAGAAGAAAGGAGTACGAGTAGCATATATCCAAGCTATAAAGGATATGTATAAAGGAGCAAGGACTGCCGTAAGAACTCATGAAGGACAAACCGAAAGCTTTCCCATAACTGTAGGATTACATCAAGGCTCATCCTTAAGTCCTTACCTTTTTGCGTTGGTAATGGATGAGTTAACAGGACATATTCAAGATGATATTCCTTGGTGTATGCTTTTCGCAGACGATATAGTGTTGATAGATGAAACTCAGGAAGGGGTAAATGCAAAGCTTAACCTTTGGAGAGAAGTGTTGGAATCTAAAGGTCTTCGCCTAAGCCGATCAAAGACAGAATATATGGAGTGCAAGTTCAGTGCAAATGGAGGCCAAAACGAGTTAGGGGTGAGGATCGGAGATCAAGAAATACCAAAGAGCGACCGTTTTCGTTACCTAGGATCTATCTTACAAAAGAACGGAGAATTAGATGGAGATCTCAACCATAGAATACAAGCTGGATGGATGAAGTGGAAGAGTGCATCCGGCGTGTTGTGTGACCGCCGTATGCCACTGAAGCTCAAGGGAAAATTTTATAGGACGGCAATAAGGCCAGCGATGCTGTATGGCACAGAATGTTGGGCGGTGAAACATCAACACGTACACAAAATGGGTGTAGCGGAGATGAGGATGCTTCGTTGGATGTGTGGGCACACGAGAAAGGATAAGATTAGGAATGAGAATATCCGGGGTAAAGTAGGAGTAGCCGAAATTGAAGGAAAGATGAGAGAAAATCGGTTACGGTGGTTTGGACATGTGCAAAGAAGGCCTACTGACGCTCCGATTAGAAGATGCGACTATGGGACAGAGGTTCAGGGCCGAAGGGGTAGAGGAAGACCTAGGAAAACTTTGGAAGAGACTCTAAGAAAAGACTTAGAGTACTTGGATCTAACGAAGGACATGACACAGGATCGAGCACAATGGCGTTCTAAGATTCATATAGCCGATCCCACTCAGTGACTTGGATTTTCCAAGTCTCCAACCAAGAAGTTTTCCTCACTCGGGAAATTAAGGGAACACTACCCCAACCTACATGCTCCACTCAGAAAGCTTCAACATACAAGCTTCAACAAAAGAAAATTCAAAGAACTTAGCGAAGAAGGCTTTGGTGTATTTAACACAATACGTTGAAATGAAGGAAAGCTTATTTATTGATATCCCCGATAAGCTACAAATATGTACATATACATGAGTCAAAATAAACACACAAGAGGGAGCCTTCACAAAGGTTGCTTAGGAGAAGTCTCAGCAGTCGGTAGAGCCCCAGAAAGAGAAGGCACCGGAGGGGGATCATTTGGAGCCTCAGTACTGGACAGAACCCTAGAAGGAGGAGGCATCAGAGGTTGATCATTTGGAGCTTCATTACGCGGTACAGCCCCAGAAGACGAAGGCAATAAATGCCTTTGGAACAAACCCACAAATCTCTGATGATCAAGTAAAACCTGACCATCAGTTTCCTTCATCTGGTCAAGCTTCCTCTTCATGTTTGTAGCATAGTCATGTGCGAGCCGGTGCAACTGTTTATTCTCATGCTTGAGCCCTCTAATCTCCTGTTTGAGACTCATCACTTCAGCCGCCAATGATTCAACTTGGCGGGTTCTAGCAAATAGGCGTTGGGCCATATTAGACACAGAACCTGCACACTGAACACTGAGAGCCAGCGAATCCTTAACAGCTAACTCATCAGACCGTTTGGAAA